CGAGGGGCGCGGTTGCGCAGGCGGAGAGCGGAGAAGGGGCGGGCATTGGGAGAAGCCGATCCCTGCAGGAGGCGGCCGCGGCAGTGATGGTGGTGGCCCGGCCGGTGTGTTCTTGGCAAAGCCCGAGAGCGGCTCTTCACCTTCACTTCTGCATCCGCTTTAACTTAAAGGACTTGGACTAGGGGACAAGAAAACTGATGTGTGCCCCTTTTAGTTTTTCTTCTTTCGGGCGTTGGTATTTTGTTTAAGTGGCTTTTTTAGAATCCCCCAAAGTTTGTATGACTAGGCTTCTTTATAGTACCTTTTTTGCTGGCCCTCTTACTATTATTGTGATTATTAACCGTACTCATTGTTAGCTGCGTGGAATGCTGTACGCAGCTATTAAAGTGGTAACATATGATGAGCAGGGACTTTTCTGCTCTCCCAAGTTTTTAGCATGCCAGAAACAAAATCTGAAGCTTTCCAGCAACAGATACATAGGAATGAGATGAAGACGGCAACCCACAATTTACAAACCTTGTACATTGTATTGTTGCCTTGTCCTTGGTTGGCCATCGTTCTCATAAGATACGTCATTTAAAATTTCCAGGGACCATTTTTCTCAATTCTGAATGAACTATGGCAATGAACATTTGAAAATAATAGGAAAGTGTTGGGAAACTGCCACCCAGGGCTCATGCTGGTCTTCAGTTGTGCAACGACAAAAAAACCTAGGGCTTACACCCCACCTCTTCCATGGGGTCTTTTCTATTATCCCAAGAGAGGTCTGGGGAGATTCTTGTATGATAGGCAGAATACAATAAAATAGTTATCTTGAACTCGACACATGCTGGTTTGGTTGCTTGTGCCTGACAGAAATACACTCTACATCAGTAAATTCCTCCATAATTCTACTGATGTTCTGAGTTGCAGTTGAGGTAACTGCAAGCAAAGAAATGCAAATGAAATACATCAATTGGTGTAAGTTAATATAAAGAATAATAAAACATATGCTGTTTATATTCTAATCATTTTTGCCAATAGTTCTAAAAATATAAGCCAAAGTAGAAATGTGTAACATTTTTAAAAATTTAGTTGTCAAAATACTCTAACTGAAACTCTGTTTTCAGACCATTAACTTTTCCACGCACTGTTTTTTTAATTTTTAAAATTTAACTACGCTAATGCACTTGAAACTATGTACATAACTTAAGATTTCATAGTTTTGGGTAATGAAATGTTTGCAAGAAAACAAGCAATATCAGAGAGCACCAAGGACCCCCTAATTTCATAGCTGTAATCTCTACATAGCTGCATGGTGGTTATTAAAGAGTTTTTATACAATTTATGAATATATTTGACTAGAGAATATAATTGCATTGTTACAGTACAGTACTTCACAACTTTCTTCTGCACAATACTTAATTCGGTTAAGTTTAAACACGAAACATACTATACTAAGTGAAAAATACTTCGATGGGATAAATTAATATAGTCCAATAACAATTTGTAGATTTTTTTAATATGGCATCAAAGCTAAATGTTTATATTGAATGGCATGGACAAATGTTGAAGATAAGTCATTGGAGATGTTGGAGGTTAATTTGTTTGCTTATCAGCTGGTTGGCATTGGGCATGTTGGGCCAAAACTGTGAGAACTCAGATTTAAGAAGACAGCTTTATAGCAGTGGGACTAATGGTATCCTCTATATCGACTGATCGTAGCTATTTGGGGCCAGCTATTTCTGACAGCCAACATCTAGGAAATTCCAGCAGTTACTTGAGGTTGTGATGATTTTTGACATCTTGAGTTTAAGATAGCAATAGCACTTAGGCTTATATATTGCATCATAATGCTTTACAGCATTCTCTAAGTGGTTTACAAAGTCAGCATGTTGCCCCAACAATCTAGGTCGTCATTTTATTGACTTCGGAAGGATGGAAGTCTGAGTCAGCCTGGCTGTGGGCAGAGTTAGATTGCAATTCTGCGTTCTACTGTAATTCCACCATGGCTCAGTGGAAATGGAAATGGTAATGAAAGAAGGAACAGGTCAGTGGCTGGGTGACTGTCCTTTTTCTTGGTTCACCCTTTTCTTTGTCCTACACAATGGATTTGGGATTAAAATAGTCCAGTTTGCTGCTGCTACTGTTGTCATATTTATGGTTTATGGTGATGCTGGTGTTACATCCTTCCTGTGTAAAGACTTGAGATAGAAAAGGACTAACAGTCTTGATATGAGAAGATTTTAGGAAGGCCTGTGAATGGGGGATAGAGCTGGTTGCTTTTTGCTAGCCTATTTGTGTTTGACAAGATGGTGAGACATCTCATGTGTCATGTACTTCTTAGATTCACGGGAATGTGCTGAATAGAGAGCATTTCTTCTAGTCAACTGTTTAATCAGGATATGCATTGAATTTAAATATTAAATGTATTAAGTAATACAGTATTTTGAATTTTAGCATAGAACAATATATTCCTAATATGGAAGATTATACAAGTCTATTTACAGAATTTAAATGGAAATCCAGCATTCATTATTACAAATCTGCTACTTATGAATAACATCGCTATTTGGCCCTGTCGGAAATTGAAAGCTACATTAAAATAACTTTTATCTTCCAAACTAATATAATATTCAGGCAATGATACTGATGCTATGGAAATTGTATTTTTCCCAATAGAATTAAGATCTTCTAAACATTAGGAACATAAATGTTTCCCTCTACAAGAACTGAGAAACTGTAGAAATGAACATTTAATAAAATTTCATAGGTAAAATTTGATTAAATGGAAACAAAGAAGAAATATGAAATGGTTATATGAATATCTCTGGAATAAATATGATTTATTGTAGATTGGGGGAAATACCATGTGGATCCTGAATATATTAATTCTATTTTTTTGTTCATTATACATTGGCTTTGAGAAAGTTAATAAAGGTAATAATGTAAAATAAAATAGGTGCTAAGCTGGAAATAGAAATAATAGGGGATAAAGAGTGGAAAATATATGGGGATGAAATGCTTTTGATATTGGATTAATCAATTGAAAATATGAAGTGAACTTATTCAAAGATGAGTGGAATAATGATTTGATATGAAATTAGATAAAGTTGGAAATGTAATTATGAGTATGTATGAATGTTGTTACCTGGAATCATGTTGCTCACTTGAAGAGATGTGTAAAATAAAAAATAAAAAACTTTTATTAAAAAAAACTGAGAAACTTGACCATTGTTGCTTATATGGTAGCATGCTCTTTTAAAAAAATACTTTAAATCTAGACAAAATAGCTGTCCTGCTCAGGGATGGGATTCAAATTTTTTAACAACCGGTTCTGTGGGCATGGCTTAGTTGGTGGGCATGGCTTGGTGATCATGTGACTGGGTGGATGTGGCTTGGTCATGTTATTGGCTGGGCGTGGCCAACTCAATTTCACTCACATCGAGGCATGCATCTCCTCGCCTGGCCTCTCATGACTGTGGGGATGCTGCAACAGTCGTAAGTGTGAAAAATGGTCATAAGTCACTTTTTTCAGTGCCATTGTAACTTTGAATGGTCACTCCACACAAGCAAAGTACCAGCAAAGGAGGGGAAAAAAACTCCAGAGTAGTTCCTGAGACAGGAAGTCTAGTCCTGCCAAGAATGTAATAAGGGTTAACGGAGAGGCAGTTTCTGTAAGCAACACCAGAATGTTTCCTTCCTGCCTTCCTTACAGGATTAGAACAGTAATTTCTTCTAACAACCGGTTCTCCGAACTGCTTAGAATGTTAACAACCGGTTCTAGTGAATAGGTAGGTGCGAACTGGTAGAATCCCACCCCTAGTCCTGATTACTAGGATTGAAGTACTGTATATCCTTTTGGAGATAAGAGTTGTACTGCTCCTGAAATCTCAAGTTCTTTCAGTCTTAGCTGTTTTTTGATATTCTGGTGGCAGTAGTGCCAAGGAATAGCTTTCTGCAGTAACTGAAACGATTCTTTCTTTCTGAAACAATTTCTGCCATGTGCTTTTTTTTAGAAGTGAAAAATGTGTTGGCTGAAATACTGAGTACTGCAGCTACTGGAAACATATGTTTATGTTGTAAATCCTGCACTTGCTACTAATGATTTTCTGAATATATTTTGAAGTACAAGTACATGTACTCTTAGTGGTTAAATCCTAAATATTTGAAAGACCATTTATGTTTTATTTTACATTGGTTTTCACTTTTAGGATCCTGTAATTGTCAGAAAAGTGGGATCTAAATCAAGTAATAGACATTTATATAATAAAGGTCTAGATTTTTGAATAAAATAGAAAATCAGAATGATGCAAATTAGCAATGTTTATTCTGAATTGGCTTTGGGACAAAGATTACATGAAAATAGGTTTATTTACAACATTCAGTTCTTTGGATTAAGTATGCAAAATAAACTACAACCAAATGCTTTTCACCCTCGCATATCGCTATAACCCATACATAGTAGCTTTAAAAAGCATCATTTATCATCAAAAAAATCACACATACTTATAAATACATACACATAACATTGAAATATCTGATACACTCCAGTATTATAATGCAAACTAAAAAATAAATTCAATAAAATACCATGATTATAAAGCATATTGATAAGTATAATAAAAATGATCAAACTATTAGAATTACTGGTTCTAGTTCAGTGTTTTGTGGTATAACTGAAGACTTCACTCAGTAAGTTTCATGAGGTTAGCTGCCATCTAACCTGTAGTATTTTTCTAAATATTCACAAAACGAAGTTGACAAAAGTGGGTATTTTAGAGTGTTTTATTGTTCAGCTAAATCCTTCTATAACATACAAAATTTATAAAGGACAAATTTTGTATCAGAAAAGGTGAAAGGTAGCTTGGTCTACCTTCATGTAACTCAGGATGGCTAACTCCCTCTTGTAAATTTTCCATGAGTTTTAAACATGCTAGTATACATGATGATGCAATGAAATGGAATAAGCTAGAATAAAGATGGGCAGGTTTCCAAGAATTGGAGATTGCTGCACTCTTCCTTGATCAGCCACATTGCCTGGTGATCTCACAGGAAGGGATACATTTCTGATCATTTGGACAGATTAAAGGTATAAATAGAGTTTAACTCCTAGAGGCCTTCTGTTTCCACTTGGTATTTATTCTGAAATGATAATTTGAAATAAAACAAAAAATGTGCTATCAAGATAGTCAGATTTGTTGGGCTTTTGAAAATGGGATGCTGAAGGGTCACGTGAAGCATGTATGTTGCCCAGCCCTGTGCTAAATTTTCAGGAAGATGCTCATCTCAAATATAGGTGGGATATTTTAAGAATTAGGTAACAGTATATTTAAAAGTATTTCCAGGATTGCATAAGAACAAAATACTGCAGCCACATTATTTAGTGACCAATACATTTTCTGAGTTAATATTTATCAACTTTTAAATATTGCATGCAAATAAAGTTTGTTTAGCATTAGCACACTACTGCTTGGATTCCAACCATTTTGGAATCCTTCACAAATGAAAGAACTTCCTTAACAAAGATCAAGCAATCTGTGAAGGATGGAGGTTCAATTGGAGGGTCAGTCTCTAGTAATTCTTTTTCACACAATGGGAAAACTGCAATTAGCAGCAGATTCTTAATAGCAAATGTGAAAATAAATAAAACTGAATATGATTGGGACTGCCTTTGGAATAAATAATTTGTGCAGCACATATGTTTTGTGGGGCATATACATTGCCCGGACATCACTGAAATTTATATTAAACATACACACTTATCTACTGAACTACTATTGTGTACAGTCATTCTCTGCATTTGACACAACCATTTGTTTCAATTTTAATGTAAACAGAAAAAAGCATGTAAAAATCAAAAGTATTGATCACAACTATAAAAAGCTAAGTACAGACTTACAGCTTTAAATACATATTAAATATGTGTGTTGGAAATAGTAACAAAACATTTTACTCACAGTATAAAGCAAACAAAAATGCAATGTCATGATTAGTTGCTGGTTTGCAATTATTCAATCTACAAAAGCTCAACATACATTATATATTATATATTACATTAGATATTAACAATCGTTCCCATTTACAAAAATTGGAACTTTGTAAAAATAATTCTAGGTATATTTGAATAAAAGTCACCTTTATTTTTCCCTCAGAATAGTTGCATGGATTTTTTAAATGTAGAATCAGGCATAAATTTATTGAGATATTACTTCATAATGTTTTACGTCGTATTACATTGTTCACTTTTTACAGATGGTAGAATTGTATATAGGAATGAAAAGGCCAAAGGAAAATGCTTTCTTTTTCGAAGAATGAGGTAAGTTTGTAGGATGTCTGATTAAGAATACAGAATCCACAACTCTGATGAAATAACATGACAAGATTTTGCAAAGCATTGGGGAGAAATGCATAATGAATCATTGGCCTGAGTGAATTAGGCCTCTTCAAAGCATTGAGCTTTGAAGGGGTCTAATGCCCCTTTGAAGGGGCCTGTGCCTTCCAGAGAGGTTGCATGATGTATCCCATGCCTGATTGTGCATGTTGCATATCCAGATACTTCAACTGGGATTTATTAACAAAACAAAGCAGTTGTGCATCTGTGCACACAAGTGGAAATGGCTTTTGAAGCAATGACTTAGAAAAGGATTCTTTAAGGTTAAGAGGTGTTTTCCTTGCACTACTGAGTTTTTAGAGAAGGGCCTTATCAATGCTGTGCTACAAAAGTACAGCTACATATGGCCTTTATAGATATGTCTTATGGTGTGTAGGACAACTGTTATTAAACAATGGGCAACTGTTTCTATATCCATAGCTGAACTATAGTCTCATTAAGATTCAAACGTAATACATAATGCTGCATAGAGATCCAGATTTGAAGGGCTAAATGTGATTTGGAGTGCACATCTTTTTATGAAGACTCATACCAGTTTGATGCACTTATTCTGAGGTGCTATATGTACACACTTGTGTGTGCTCCAAATCATATTTTGCTCTTTGAATCCAGCTCTATACAGTTCTATAATACAGGTAGTCCTTGACTTATGACAACCACTGAACCCAAGGCAAGTGAATTTTGCCCCATTTACGACCTTACTTGCCACAATTGTAAAGTAAATCATTGCAGTTATATTAGTAACACGGTTGTTAAGTCTGGCTTTGACCTTGTCACATTGCAAAATGATGACATGACCCTGGGACACAGCAACCATCATAAATACATGTGATCATAGGGATGCTGCAACAGACATTAAGTGTGAAAAACAGTCATAAACCACTTTTTTCAATGCTGTTGTAATTTCAAATATCCTCTAGATCGGGGGTGTCAAATTCCCGGCTCATGGGCCGGATGCATCACCTGCTTGCCATGCCCAATTTAGCGAAGGGGTACATCACGGTACATCACAACACCGCCATGATGACATGAGTTTGACACCCCTGCTCTAGATGAACTGTAGTCAAGGGCTACCTGTACACTGTAGATCAGGAGAGAAGTTGTTAGATTAAGGTAATTCTTAAAAGTTTATTAGGAATCCTGACAATTCAGTGGAATTTTTTTCAATAAGATCTAATATTGAATATATTTGATTTAACCAATGTAACAGCATCAAAATGCAGGCAACTAACTGTAGTTATAGATTATATACCTGTAGTGATTCATATTGAAATATGTAAATAGTCGGTGATTTTTTTCCACCTGAGTCTGTTCCCCTTTGAATTGCATTGAGTGGATTTAAGCGAAACAGTAAGTATGCAAAATTAAAGTAGAGATAACAAAAATGTAAAATAGGGCAAATTTCCTGTAGGTGGCAAGCAAGATTTATTTGGCATGATCAAGCTGTATAACAAGTGACATGCATTGGTTGACATTTTCAAACATAATTGCAACTTGACTTGTTCAGAAATATAAACAGGAATTTTTTGAAGTTAATTATGATCAAATGTGACCCAAACAGTAGTTGTAAGGACATTTTAAAGAAAAAAATATCTTCATTATAGCTGAAAATAAGCAAGCAAACATGCCAGGAGAGTTACACATACCATTACCATTCCACATTTACTAGGTATGCCTAATTTTTAAATGGAACTTTTCCAAAATAGATGCCAAGAAAAAAAAAAAGATACTGTTAGTTTCATCCAGTTGGTTCAGCCATTTGTGAACTTTGTACATTCAAAATATGAATGAATTCTTTGATATTTAACAAAAATCTGCTGCCAAGTGATATATTTCATGCAAAAGTAGCAATTTTGATGGCCAAGGGTCACACTAAAATAGATTTTGTAGGATAAAGGAATACAGGGTTACAAAGCAAGGAAATATGTCTCATATTTGGACAAGAAGATGTTTTAAGGGAATTCATGAAGTTCCTAATTTTTAACTTTGATAGGACTTGCTATACAAACTACATAGTTTTTGTTTGCTATTGCCCTTGAAATGGCAGGTAAAATTGCTGTCATTTTTCAGAAACAGTGGCCAGTTTTGTGGGCTGCAAAAGGAGATTCAAAAGCAACAGGTTGACCAGCTCTCCCTTGATGTGTTTTTATTTTATTGGTGAAATGCAGTGCATTTCTTTTCACTAACAGAATAGCTTCCCAATGAAATCAAGAGAAGGAACAACCCCTTTGATCTCAATAAAAATCTACTTTTGTCCCACTGCTGGAACAAAAAGACTTAACTGGATTTATCTAGTCAGAGAAACCAAATTCACTGAACTGTTAATTCATATATTGAAAATTACAACATGTATGATCTACTGCAAAGCAGCACAAATGCTTCCAATAATAGAAGTACTGCACAGCCAATGCTAAAAGTATTTAAAGGCACCTACTGCAAGCACACCAATATCTAACAGAAAGCATTCAGTAAATGATTAATTATGAGCCATATCCATGTTAAAACATTTGATGAACGTACAGTTATGTAAGATTCCAAGGCACCAGAAATGTCATAGTATATAATAACTGCTTGAAAATCAATTAGAACTAGGCATATTTTTCAGGGAAACTGGTTTTACTCAGTTCCTGATCAGGTTAAATGTTAGTATATGCAGGAGATTAAGGCTTAAAGTCTAGCGAAGCAAATATATGCTGGCTGTACATGACCATGATATAAAAATTGAGATGTAAAAAGAATATACTAAACTTACCTATGTCCAGGGAAAACTTACCTATGTCCAGGGAAAATTCATAATATTCACAGCAGTGTAATTATATGGAAAATATTCAGGAAGCAAACAATGTACAAAATAGTATAATGAATTTTCCTTGTAAAACATGTTCTTCTACTATAAATGCTTATACAACTACTGATCACAGCAATACAGAACACAAAAGTGCTAGTAACATGTATACTTATCATTTTCTCACCTGGAAATCATGTTTTAATATGCATTTTCTACACTAAAATATGTCAAACTTATTCAAGTTGTACAGGGTATGCTACAGGAAAAAAAACAGAATTCAGAAAATGATCCATGTCACAGAGAGATGCTACCTGGAAAAATATTTATAATAGGTCCATGACAGTTGTTTTTATTCTTTAATAGAAGACAATGATTAATCAACTGCTTGTTCATTGGTTCTATTATATTTTAAACAAAAGATCCTTACTATTGAATTTTTTGAAATCTAAAATTGTTATTTACCAATTTGGGAACAATACTGAAACCCAATATACGTAGTGAGTGGAAGAGTTTAATCTTAAGTATTGCTTCTTTGGGCTACTGATGGACAACTATGATGTGATCTTTACTGTACTTAATTTCAGATGGAAATTCTGAAGATTTAAAAAGTAAGATGTTTCAAGATCTCATTTAGAAGTAAAATGAAAAATAGTCACATACTAAAAGAAAAAACCTGAAACACCCCTTTAACTGAGTGATTCTACATACAGATGGACCTAAATATTTTTAATATGCTTTCTGATAAAAAATTATTTTATGATGATGCAAGACAACATAGGCTTATATTATTTTCAAATATTTTAAAAATTATTGTAATAGTTGTGCTATAAATTCAATTAATTGAAAGAAAATAAAAGGCAAATATTAAACCATTTACACATAAAACATATATAAACTAAATTTTTCACATTGACAGTAAACAGTACTTATCACATTAAAAATATGAAAAATGCAGGTAAATCTATTTGAAATAAACTTGAAAAAATACAATATGGACATGAACATGATCCATTTAGTAACATCCACTGTTAATGATTTCAGAAGAAGTTAGAAATAACTATGGGAAATATTTAACAATCAAGACTTTAAACGCAACAGTATTTTCTTTCCAGATGACACTTTGGAAAAGGCTGCTTTCCTGTTCTTAAAATGAATCTTACAAATTCTGGCAGTAATATGATTTCTTATTCAAAAATTCTTCTTATCATTGTATCGGTGAATAGTCACACAGCCATGGTATGATACAGGTCTGGGCATGGCAGCGACTCCTGTAATGATACTTGTTGCAGGATCATAACAAAGAATAGTATCTGTGGCTTCTCCATTTTCTCTTCTCCCACCAAGGATATAGATTTTCCCATTACAGACAGACATGCCACAGTTTTCCTGATCATCAGATCAAAAAGAGAAAGAAAAAGTAAAATTATATTATAATAATTGTTTTGCTAGAAATGTACTAAATTATTCTTTTGTAGATTTCATTTCTCAAGCTTGGGCTTGGTATATATTTCCAGTTAATAAACTTTTACATCATACTTTCTGAGAATACTTCTGCCTCTTATAGATATCAATATGGGCAAATTCTAAATCAATCCATTTTTTAATGAAAACCCTCAAGTATCAAACTCAATTCAGAGATGGTTTCTGCAAACTTCCAGGACAGCTCCATCCTAATACTTTCCAGATACTTCAGGTATTCTTATGCTGAATTATACCTTTAAATCAAATTTTCCCATTTTATGCCCTCCAAATATATTGGACTTCCATAATTTCACATCTAAATAAATCCAGTACATTTGGAGAGATCTAGATTGGAAAAACCTGCTTGCTTTTGTAAATACAGCATTGATGACAAAATTCACTTTGCTATATGGAATAAAAGCCTTATGCTCCGGTATAAATTTAATAAAAAGCAAATGTATCGTAGAAATAAAAAGCTTCCTTAATTTTGCACTTAGTCATTTTATGTTGACAAATCTACTTGTACATATGAGCATTTTTAGTTCTTTGTTGTTACCTGTCTGCTAAATGTGTTCTGCACATGCATCCAATAATCTTCAACTGGATCGTAGCAATATATCGCTTTTGTGAGTCCCCCAGCAACATAAATGAGATTGTTTAATGATACAGCTGTAATACATCTCTTCGCAATGGGGATTGTTGCACGAAGGAGCCAAGAATTAGTATCAGGATCATACGACTGAACCTTAAGAAAAAGAAATACATCTCGTTTTTTAGCACCTCTTTGGTATAGTGCTTATAAGTTCTGCTTCCTTTGATTTTTAACATCATTCACAAAGTGATGTAATAAATGATAAGCAAATCAAAGATTATCCTTCATTTACATTATAAAATTTGCATACTTTCTTTTTGGCTTAGTTAGCAAGTATAATTGTTTAAAAATAAAAGATGTACTTGAATGTCTTAATGAATCACAATTTATCCTAGGAATGAGATTTGCCTTTCCCTGGGTTTCTCCATGTGCTCTCTCTCATCTTCTCCAGCAAGCTTGTTTTAAAATTCATTGCTATTTAAGTATGTTATCTGGATCCAACGTGGTTTAACTGATGGTTTAAAATACGTCTTAAAATATAAACTTGAAAGCAAGTCAGTTTCAGCATAAGATAACACATAGTTTCCTTAATTTGTGAAATCCTAAAAGGAAAATATCCTGCAAACTGTAAGCCATTAGGCTTTCTAATCTGGAACTACTGAACCTTGCCCTAATTGAAGAGTCTCTTTTTTTTTTCCCCTCTCTCTCTGGACGTGTATAAGTAGTGAAAAATATTGGTTGCAGAGAAACCATCAATTTCAGTCTCTGTTACCACTTGTATTGAACATGTACTGAACTTGTATTGAACATGAATAAATCTGCCTTGGCAACCTTTTTTCCCCACTGCACAGTCCTGATGCTGCCTTTACCTAATCTTCACCCAAAAGTAAAATAGTAAAAAAAGTGTACTTAGTTGTTGTACTCCTGTTAAAAAAATTCCCTTTAAACCAACAACATTTAATGATAACTGCAAAATGTGTGAAATGTATTATTTTATATAATGATTCAAAAATAAGTCAAGCAATCATTGAATCAGAGAAGTGGCAATTGGCTTTTTGAACCTTTCAGGACAAGAAAACTTAAGATGTGCTGCAGACAGCTGCTCCATGGGAGGAGACTGCAAGATAGGAGTCTCTTGAGGGTTTAGAGCTCTGGGAGATGAGGGAGTAGCCATCTTGCTCAAACAATGGTCCATTGTCTTTAAAAGGACATTGGGTTTGCTTATTTATTTTCTAATCACTTTCAGAAATTACTTGTTAACTGTTTTTCACCTAATAGAAACCTTTGGATTGGCAAGTTTGACAGCACTAGATGGGTTTCCCTTCAATTCTCAGCAAAATGAAATTTTAACTACAAATGTAAGATTATAACTATTTTTTGGAATAAACAACTAATAAACATCATGATTAAAATTTTGATTTTAGAAAGTTACAAACAGACCAAGGGTCCACATAAATTTGAAATAAGAGCTTGGAATTTATTATAAAGAATCCTTCCTGCGGGAAAATGTTTTTTTTAAAGTAAGATGTTAAAAATTGAATACTAAAGGTACCGTATTTTTTGCACAATAAGACGCTCCAGACCGTAAGACGCACCTAGCTTTTGGGGAGGAAAACAAGAAAAAAAATGCCTCTGCCTCCCAGCAATTTGCCTCCTAGCAGCAAACAGCAAACAACCTAGTCAGCTTCAGCACAGCCTGATTTAGCATGAGCAGTTGATTGGCAGTTGAATCGGCCTCCCGGCGTACCGCCGATCAACTGTTCCAGGCTGTGGGAATCGCCACCACTCATTGCTGTTTCCATGTCCCCCATTTTTGGCCACTTCATGCCCCATTTTTGGCCTTCATGCGTCCAGTTTTCAGCCTGTTCCAGCTGCTGCCTATTGCCACCAATCCCCGCCATCTGGAACGGGCCGAAAATGGGATGCATGGAGCCAAAAATGGGGCACGCAGAGGCCAAAAACAGCCATAGGGTGGGAGCCAGTGGGTGAGCAACATCTGCTCTGTAAGACGCACAGTCATTTCCACCCACTTTTTGGGGGGCGGGGGGGCGGAGAAGTGTGTCTTATGGTGCGAAAAATATGGTAATTAAATATAATTAAAAAGGAACAGACTTGATTTACAATTACAGAATGGAGCAAAATGGTCTAACATTATTTTGAAAAATCAACTCAGAAGTTAACATTAATAGTGTTATCAGACAGATCTGACTATGGAAGGAATGTGACTAAAATATGTTATAGAAGAGGAACAGGTTTTACAAGACAAAACTGAAATTGAGTTGAAGGTGGATTTACAAATGTCATTCTTTACATGGAAAACTCCACATACAAAGGAAACGGCTGTTTAATAATTAAATAAACTGAGAAGAAGGGAAAGATAAAAAAGTCAGTTAGATGGTGGTAGTGAGTTCTTGAAAAAGACAGGAGAGAAATTTAAACAGAAAAGGAATATATGAAGTGATGCATGGACAGAAGGAACAAAAATGCTTTTCAAGGATAGAAATGTATGGAAAAATAGTGAATGATGTAGTATTAGCTCTTTTTCTTTTTTTATTAATTTTAATTTCATTACCCTCTCATTCTTCTGCCCATTATACAGGGTTATTTACCTCCACAGATGTACACATGTAGTGTGTGTATGTATGTATGTATGGTATTCAGCTTTGTTCAGGTATTTTCCCACATCATTATATATATATATTCCCGAACAAAGCTGAATACCATACATATAAATACCCACGAAAACTTAAGAAAACAAGTGTGTGTGTGTGTGTGTGTGTGTGTGTGTGTGTGTGAGAGAGAGAGAGAGAGAGAGAGAGAGAGAGAGAGAAGTTAATTCAAATACCAAACCTTATCAGAGCATGTGTTATCATCTGGACCTCCACCAATCACAAACAGTTTTCCCACACAGCTGGTAACTGCTGGAGAACTGACAGCTTCTTTAAGTGAAGCTACCTCTGTCCATCGATTGGAAAAAGAGTCATAACACTCCACACTACTCAGCCGATTTTGCCCATCATATCCTCCAACCACATACACCTGTTAGAATACGTAAAAAATATTATCAGCATGTATTTATCCTTTAATATTTTTAGGGACAGAAATGCAAAGTTACACAAAACCAGAAAGTCTTCAGATATGCCTCGACTTTTCAAAAACTTACGTAAGATTACCGTACCTGGGCTGCTAACATTTTAAGGACTTATTTGTATTTCCATGCTACTATCTTAATGGTTGACTGAATTTTTGCATCCCAAAAAGGGCATCCCGGTTTAAGATTTGAAATGCACCCAAAAGGATAAAAACTGACATATTTTTATTATTACTTTTAATGGTTTTATTCTCTCTCTCCCCACCTCCATTTATTTTAACTGGTTCTGCAGCTGGGTGATCTTTATGACATCAGCCACTATCCTCCTTCTACCACCTAGTTTGGTTGTAAAAGTTATTTCCAGTTCACACATAGGAGCTTCAAATACCACATGTAATCTGTACTGGATAATTTGCACAAGTTCCTAGTAAGTAAAACAGAAATCAACAAAAAGCATACTGCTGATTTTACTCACTTAAATATGTATAAATGCATCCTCCAAAATAACAACTATGTATTTTTTTAAACTGGAAATAAGGAAATGGCTAGCAAAAAATCTTAATTAAATGGTAGTGCACATGCTTTGTATCCAAATAATCAAAAGTTTGAATATTAACATTTCCAAGTAAAACTGGCGAATCTGCTGTCTGAAATGCTAAGATACTATTAAACAGTTTGTCCTAACATGGATAAGGAATAGCATATCATGATCAAATTAAAATTCACTTCTCACTATGTAGATGCAAACTTTGCATTATAGCCCCACATTTTGCATCATCTGTTCTCAGCTCATCATTCAGACAAGCCAATGGTACCCAACAAGACACATAAACTAACACTTGTAACTATTGGCTAAAGTTCCCATTTAATCCCTTCAGATCTATTTCACTTATAACGGGATTTCCTATCAAGCTGAAATAGCATGAGAGAAAAACTAATAGGAAAAAAACACTAATGACACATGGTTTAACAGCAGGGTTTATATGATTCTTGGGATATGATCAGGCCAAACACATACTTCAGATTTAATGCTGTTGAATTTTAAACCGAAGAAACTGCTTCGTATTAGAAAGCACGGCCAAGGTATCAAAAAGTTTATGGAAAATAGTCAATTTTTTCCCTATTTACATTTCCTAATTTAAAAAGTATATATATATAATATTATAGTATTATATATATAAACTTTACATATATATGTTGATATATATATATATATATATATATACACACACACACACACACACACACACACACACACACACACACATACACCCATATAGGTATAATATATCGCCCTTGATATTATTATCAGAAAATACCTTAAGATCCCAACAAAAAAACTTATTTGCCCATGTGGATCCCAGGATATAAAAGCATGTGTTATTTTATTATTCTATTAATCAGGACATTCATAATGCCTATCTTACTCCTGCTTCATCATTACCCAGAGCATGCAACACTTCATATGACTTCAAATTCTCTTCAACTTGGACTATATCAAATATTGTGCAGCAACAGCAAACATGAAGCACAAATTATTCCATATTTATAATTTAATTTACTTGCTGACTATCTTGAGGTTATTCAATATGTTGTTTTATTTCAATACCTTTAGCAATAGCTTTTGTTTGTCTTTTGGCTATTAAAAAGTCTCTCTCTCTCTCTCCCTCCCTCCCTCCCCCTCTCCATAATAAGATATGTTAGGCTGCTTGTAATAAATAAGAAAAGTCTGACTCTGAGAAACCCTTTTTCTATAGCAACTGCATCAAATGTAACGTATACAGTATATCCACCAATCAGAATGTTAAAATGACATGTTTCAATAGCAAGCCTCATCTTTAAGACAGAGAATTCAATGTGAATTTGGTTTAGTGTTTTATTACAACCATACTTCAGAAATCAAGTATCTATATAAAGATTCCTTACCTTACCAAGGAGGACAGACATTTTATGACGCCACCTCCCTTTATTTAGAGAAGCGACTCTGATCCAAATATTAAGTTGAGAATTATAAATCCATACATCACGGCTATTGATTCTTCCTCCTTATTGAAAAAATAGAATTGATTATTATTATATAAGTATTGTCACCGTTGAGTCTCATTGTGGAAAATGCATTATTATGTTACAGGTAGAAGTGTATAAAACTTTTTTCTAAGTATCAAATGTTTGAAGTTTGAAATGCTCCACTATAAATCTGAAATAGTTCTTTCAAGCTAGATATGTTGCTTTGACCATTTTGGAAGTATTTCAGGTTCAGAAAACTTAAAACATCTGTTTTGAATACAAAATGCTGCCACAGTATTCAAAATGACTACCTCAAATTCAAAATGTTTCAATGTGAAATGCTTTCTAAACCTCTAGTTTTTACTAATAAAAATAAAATGCAGAACAGTTATATAGTTTAAAAACTTATTGACCATAGAATAATGGATATAAAACTTTTCTAATCAAAGATCGTTTTCTGGTTGGGAATTATACTGGAAATATACAATAAAGAGCTGAAATATTTGATTGCAAATGTTTTAACAGCGGCTAGAATTGTATTTGCTAAAAATTGGAAAAATGAAAAAATACCTATGCAGGAGGAAGTTATTAAGAAAATTATGGACTGTGCTGAAATGAGTAAATTGACATTTGAAATTAGAGAGCAAGAAGACAAGCAATTTTATATGATATGGGATTTGTTTTATCAATGGTTGGATAAAAAGACATGGTAATATAATAGATTAGATAATTTTGTAATAAAAGTTCAATAGATTAATATAAAATATAATATAGACATATATAACCATTGGATGAAAGTACAATATAAATTTTAAAATAAAATTTGGAATATCTTGTATAAAATGATGGAATAAATAGTTTAGTCATGATTAATAATTGATAAATATATAAGCATATGTTACTTTGACAATGTATAAACTGTAATGACTACAAAAGGATAGCACAAAAGATTTGTAACCAACTGATACATCGTATGTATATAAAATGGAAGATGGTTTTATGTTTTGTTTGTATAGGTTTGTCTTAAAAAATAATTTTTTTTATAAAAAAAAAGATCATTTTCTGGAATGATATTTCAGTGGAAATCAGACCATATATACAGGTTCTCACACTGGAAGTTGGACATTCCCTATAATTGAAATCAACATATATAAATATAGACTTTTCAGAATTATTTAGAAATGGATACATAAGTCACCTCTATATTTACTTTATTAAGCTACTTCCCAATGCACAAAGGGATAGTAAAATAGATATTAATTAAAAAGATATGTTATTTAAAATAACAGTAATTTTTCTATTATACCCCACCCATAAATACTATAAAATTATTACCTGAAACAAGGATGTCATTCCTTAAAGCACAAACTGCATACTCCGATTTTGTAAATTCTGGTAATTTTGCCAGGGATTTCCACTCTCCTGTCATTGGGTCATAACATTCTGTATATGGCAAATTAAATCCCCCAACACGTTCACAACCTCCAACAACAATTATAACTTCAGAGTAGCCAGTTGATCTATAAATACAAAATATATTTATACTTTAAAGACTTTAAAATTTCACCAACAGTACTTAAAATTGACTGAAACATTATATTTAAGAACAAGATCTCAAGTCTTGCCCACTAAAATAAACATTTGGAAAAGATTCTCACATTAACCAAGTAGTGAGGCAAGAAAAACTCTTCCTAATCTACATACACATTTGAAAACAGTATTAAGCAACATGATGGTTTCCAGATATACACCTTTACTGATTGATGGTACTGGCTCAGTTCACAAGTAAACAATTAAACAGAATGAATTTAAGCCAGTATATGAATGAGAATAGAGTTGAGCAACGAAGCACACCAGCTTGATTCCTTCCACCAGTGATAACAGTGATCTAAATCTGTACGCTCCACTCAAGCTATACTCTAAATTTTTTGGATTGCAGCTCATAGCACAACATGACCAGCAAACAGGGACCATGAGACTTGTAGCCTGAATGATCAGGTTGCATATCCTCCCGCACCACAATTTTGCAAGATCTGCAAACCAGGATCTATTACCTGGTTACACTCCTAAAATGTGGCTGTCTTGATATATGATTTGACAAAGAGAACAAATAGTTTTTCAATTCACACATAACATCAGACAAACCATGAATGTATGTTCTAGGTTTATTTAATTACTCCCTTCAGCACAGGGAGTTAAGTGGTAGTGACTAAGCAGCATACACACTTGCTTTTTCCAATGTGCAAATCACATACTGAATAGTATAATGGAGAAATTATTGTGGAATGCAACAGATAGCTAGCTACTCTGCAGATCGTCTTACCTTCGTGGTCTAGTTCTTGGAGACATCATTTCATTTCCAAGGACATGGTACCTTCTTGCTTCATGCAACAATTGGTAACATTCAGGTGAGTTTTGAATCAACTGATCTACTTCCACTGTCTGAACAAAGTAGTTAGGATGTAACAAAGGCAGTCTCACATGTGTGAGAATTTCTTGTAGAACTGAGCGCCTGGATTCCACAGCCCGGTAAACCCAGTGCATAACTGCTTCAAACACCATCTCCTCTTTGCTTATTACCAGTTCATCACTGCAAATGTAATCAATAAGTTCATCTTTTCCAAGCTCAAGAAATTCTTCATGCTGGGCCACATCCTCAAAATTTTGCAGTGCAAAAGTTTTGCATTTTGTAAAGAGTGTTTTTAGAGAGTGTGTATCAGCAAAACGTTGAATTCCTAGACAGTTACAAGGATCTAGCTGCTCTTCTAGGAACTTAGCACATGCATCACGCAAAACGCTTATTTGAAAGAGACTTGATGTTTCAAACAGGTACTGCACATTATCTGTGGTGATTTTTACTTTGCCTGTATATACATATTGTAAAAAGCAATCCATGGCTTCAGCAAAAATTCCATTAATTTCTACCAACATCTCCCGACTTTCTCTGTGATCATTGCAAAACATAGCTCTGAAGTAGCTGCTGCAAGCTGAAAGAACAGCACGATGACAGGGAAATTCTTTACCTTCAACACAGATTATTACATCTGTGAACAAGCGACTGTCACGAAATTCATTGAAGATCTGAAGTATGCTTTCAGCATGGGATGATCCAGAAGAAAAATCAAAGAACTCATGGCCTGATAAAGATTTTGGGTCCATTTCAAAAACTTTACGCTTGGTGAGTGGGGATTCTTGGACCCGACCATCCCCTCTGTTCAATCTGCGCCCCAGTATTAGTACCATGGTTACATCAACTGTTCATGCAATCATGGAGAATAGATGTGATGAATATCCTCTTGGTGCTAAAAATAAATATTTTAAAAATATTTCAGACTACTAAGGACATTAATACACTAAATAAAACACTGAATCATCCATGCAATAGGACTACGGTCTTAGTCAAAAGGAGCAAACAATTTCTATAAACTAAACTCTTCTGTCTTACAGCTATTTTGCTAAACTAACCAATCCTGATATTTCTTTTAAAACAGGAAAACTTTACAGACTATATTGAATGAATAAATGAAAAACCTTTGAATTGAGATTAAAAGCATTACACAAAGAGATGTTTTGGGGAGGGAGAATTGCTTGCAACTTCATCCTCACAAAATCACTTTCACTTTAGTTATAAAAGCTTTTTGTATATACATTTAATATCCATCAAAATGGAAGATATAGAAACAAGATGGGGATAGTTTTGTATCCAAACATCTCCATTCTTACACTGGACCCAGTATTTAATGACACTAGAAATTTTTCCTTATAGATTTCTGGAGGGAAAACTGGGAGAGAGAAAGACGAAGAAAACCTACAGAATACTCTTGGGGAAAAAAAATGCCTAGTTACTGACCACCCTGGGCAGCATAAGATAACAATTACAAATAATTCATTTTAATTCTATTTGGTATTGTAGAAAAATATTATCAACAGAATTAGTGAAGATACATGAGAAACATTTGTGTTGTAATATTTTGAGGATTTTCTAAATTCATGAATTTAGACATGAGGGTTAACTGTGCTTACTTATTTGTCATTAAAACCATGATCTGAGGGAAAATAAATATTAAATAGTAATTCAGACTATTTTAGAAACCTATAGTTGGACTGTTGATGTATTAGAAACCTATAGCTGGACTGTTGATCACTGGCAGCCATCCAACAATTGAGACAAGGTAGATAAGCATACCGTATATACTCGAGTATAAGCCGAGTTTTTCAGCCCATTTTTTGTGCTGAAAAAATCCCCCTCGGCTTATACTCGAGTCAGATTCCCCTCTGAAAAAAA